AGCATCTGTGAAGAGAAATCAGAGTTAACGTTTCAGGTCCATCCTCAGTTGTGAGGAAGGACACTGGACCCGAAACATTAACTCTGATTTCTCTTCACAGATGCTACCGGACCTGCTGAGCTTTTCCAGCAACTTCTGTTTTTGCTTCTGATTTAAAGCATCCACAGGACTTTTAGTTTTTACTCAGATCTTACCTGTTTATTTGTGCAGTGAACTCATCTACTTTGTTGCAAATGCTATGTTAATTCAGTGAGAGCTCATTTCATAGAATCCCTACAGTGTAGGAGCAGGCCATTTGTCCCTTTAGAAAGCATCCTACCCAGACTCATCCAGTCTCTGTAACCCTGCATTTCCCATGGCTAATCCACCTAGCCTGCAAATTCCTGGACAATAGGGAGAATTTAGCATGGCCAATCCACCCTAACCTGTACATCTTTGGATTGCATGAGGAAACTGGAGCACCGGAGGAAACTCATATGGACACGGGGAGAATGTGCAGACTCCACACAGACAGTCACCTGAGGCTAGAATTGAACTGAGGTCCCTGGTGCTGTGAGGCAGCAGTGCTAACCACTAAGCCACCATGTCGCACGCATTGTATAGGGCTAGAGCCTGCAAAAACGACCATGCAAATTTTGAGTGGCTGTTGTCCATTTTGCCACTTGCTGTGCCATTCGGTGCGATCATGGCTGATCTGATTGTAATCTCAAACGCCCTTCCCACCTATCCTGATAACCTTTCACCCGTTTGGCTCATCACAAATCTATCTACATCTACCTTAACAATTTTCAAAGACACTGCTCATACCACCTTCCCAGGAAGAGGCTTCCAAAGACTCATGACCATCTGATAAGAAAACAAAAATCACCTCATCGCTATTTTAAATTCATGACCCTCATTTTTAAACGGTGCCTCCCCCCACCCTCCATTACCACTACCACTACCTCTCCCTCCCAGGAAAATCCTCTTCACACCTACCCTGTCAGGACCCTTCAGAATCTTTATAAGTTTCAATGAAATCACTTCTTATTCTTCTGAGTGCGAGTAATTACACAAGTCGAGCCTTCCATCTCTTCCCAGCAGGACTACCACCTCCCAATTCCTCGTTCCAGATATTTGTGTACTAAATCCTGTGGGTGTGGTCCAGAACCATATGCTGAAACCTGCCCTCGTTTTCCCCACTACAGGAAGAAGTCCATCAGATCTCTGAAGATGGACTGTTTGAACGAGCATTGCCTAAACTGGATCAGTTGGAACGTGAATCTGAAGCCCGTACAGAGCCTGCGTGGTAAGGGACAGTCTGCAATTATTCAGGAGTAAACTAGCAGCTGTAAGGAACTCCCTTCCTAACAGTAGAGTCATACAGCACGGGGAAACAGACTCTTTGGTCCAACTCGTCCACACAGACTAGACATCCCAATCTGACCTAGTCCCATTTGCCAGCATTTGGTCCATATCCCTCTAATCCCTTCCTATTCATATACCCATCCAGGTGCCAAATGAATGTTGTAATTGTACCTACCTCCGCCACTCCTCTGGCAGCTCATTCCAGACACGTACCATCCTGTGCATGAAAATGTTACCTCTCGGGCCCTTTATCAATCTTTCTCCTCTCACCTTAAACCTATGCCCTCTACTTTTGCACTCCCCCGCCCCAGGAAAAAGACTATGTCTATTTACCTTATCCATGCCCCTCATGATTTTATAACCCTGTATAAGGTCATCCCTCAGCCTCCGACACTCCAGGGAAAATAGCCCCATCCTATTAAGCCACCTGTTCTAGCTCAAACTCTTCAGTCCCGGCAACAAACTTGTAAATCTTTTCTGCACCCTCAAATTTCACAACATCCTTCTTTTAGAAGGGCAGCCAGAATTGTACGCAATATTCTAAAAGTGGCCTCACAAAAGTCCTGTACAGCTGCAACATGACCTCCCAACTCCTATACTCGATGCACTGACCAATGAAGGCAAGCATACCAAATGCTGCCTTCACCACCCTGTCTACCTGCAACTCCATTTCAGCAAACTATGTACCTGCACTCCTAGGTCTGTTTGGCAACACTTCCCAAGGCCCTACCATTAACTGTATAAGTCCTGTCGTATTTGCCTTACCAAATGCAACACCTCACAGTTAACTAAATTAAATGCCATCTGCCACAAAGACTGCAGCAAGTAAAGAAGACAGCTAACCGGCATCTTCTGCAGGGCAACTAAGGGTGGCCAGTGACGCCCACATCCTATGTTGAGTTTTAATAAAAACTGTTTCCCAGGGCTGGCCTGATGTAACTAGTCTCAACAATCCCAGGGTTCCTGCTCCTGACCACTGTCAGTGATCCCTGGGTTAGAGCGTGCGATGGTTAATAGAGAGCAAGGTGAACAATGTGAACTGCATTGTTTATCCCTTTTTTGTTTTGGAAATAATGTGGATGTTGATGTGTGTGGAGTCAACGTGATCTGTCATCTGGTGAATGAAGCCACTGTTGCTGAATTTCAGGCGTCCCACAGGCTCCCCAGCTGTGGACCTACAGACACACCTGGTGCCATACCTGCTGCAGCAGCGTGATTACCTGCGTGTGAAACTGAAGAGGGTGAAGGAGGAGAATGCAGCTCTGGCAGAGTCAGTCCTCCAAGGCAGGAACAGGGTTGAGTCATTGGTGCGAGTGCGAGACGAGCAATATCAGCGATGGCAGGTATGGAATACTAGTAAACAGCAGCTCGGCTCAATGATGCCCCATATCAAGGTAACAGTAACTAGCAAGAGACAGTGTAAATCTTCCACCATCCCTGCCTCCAGCTCCCTCAGTGCGTGTTCCATGTTTTTGGGGAGGAGGGGGGTTGCGGGTGTTGCTGCCTCAATATCCTGTGACAAACAGGGTGGCACGGTGGCTCAGTGGTTAGCAGTGCTGTCTTACAGCACCAGAGACCCAGGTCCGATTCCACCCTTAGGCGACTGTCTTTGTGAGTTTCCTCCCACAGTCCAAAGAAGTGCAGGTTAGGATGGATTGGTCATGCTAAATTGCCTTGTAGTGTCCAGGAATGTGCAGGCTCGGTGGATTTGCCATGGGAAATGGAGGATTACAGGGATAGGGAAGAGGGCTGGATTTGGGCGGGATGTTCTTCAGAGGGTCGTATGGATTCGATGGGCCCAATGGCTGTAGGGATTCTATGAACATTTGGTATGTGTTTGGAGGAGGCTGGACCTTGATGTCCTGTTGCTAACGTTAGTGTATTTGACTCCCAGGAATGTACTGAACTCTGTCGTCAGTTTCAGTTGGACGAACACTGAACGAGTGAAGATGGCTGGTTTCCGAATGCCATTGTTGAATTCCAAGTGTTTTTGTAATTTTTGATGTGTTTGTGCACCTTTACTCACGTTCTGTGACCTTCGGAAGTGAACCAGCTCAGGTCAAAGCCTCTGCACAATGTCACTAAATTACTGGTGAGGAGGTGAATGGTACCCAGGTAAGAAGGGTGACTGAATGATGTGTGTAAGGCAGAGAGAGGAGTAGCAGTGCTTCAGTGACTGTCCTGTGGTCTGAATTTCTCTGCTGGCTGACTGCAACCCATGTGATAAAACTGAAGGGCAGTCACACTCTCAACCAAATTTAACTCTATCCAGGTTGAAAAAGGCCAGTGAACAGATAAAAGATAGGCTGTTTAAGGTGACAGTGTGAAGGAAGCTTTATTTTGCTGGCCCTTCCTTGGGAGTATTTGATGGGAGCAGTGTAGAGAGAGTTTTACTTTCAGTTTGAAAGAACAGAGGAAGCTTTATCCTGTATCTAATGCTCTACTGTGTTTGATGGGGGCAGTGTAGGGGAGGTTTTACTCTGTATCTAACCCCATGTTTTTCCTGTCCTGATGGTGTTTGATGGGGGCAGTGCAGAGTGGGTTATTTCCGCAGCAGTATCCCTCAACTTGACGGATACAAAGGTCCCCTGAAACCTGGATGTTTGGCCTCTGCCTTTAAGGTTTGACTTTTGAAAGTCCATCTCTGTTGCTGTGTATTGGTAAATCTGTTGTGTTCATTTTCTTCTGTCGTAGTGCTGCTCTCTGTATAACTGTGCTTCCAAAGTTACTGTAAGTGTTGATCAAGTCTGGGTTTGTTTTGATATGGTTGATCACTCCTTTAACCCCTCAGCAAGGGTATCTGTAAGGGGTCAATGAATTGGCTCAGTGTCTGTGTCAGGCTCTTAGCTGACTTGGGGAAGAGATGTAAATCAGGCAGTGGTTCACCAAAACAGCACCTAACCTCATGACCAGACATACACCTTATGTCTCTGGATGGATGACCTCCTCTCATTTTGGTCTATTTATTAAGCAGAATCTCTAGCCTTCCTGCCAGTCTGTGTGTGTGTGGACACTCTGAAACTCATCTGAAACCAACAGCCTGATATTTCACTGGCTCAGTTCTATCACAGTCTCCAGCAGCTGCTCATTCCTCCCTGGGACTGACTGCTTCAACAGACACAAAGAGTGGCATCTGTACTCACACTGCAGGGAACATTGTCTGCACTGTATGAACAAATTTCCTTCTGGGGAAGTGGGGTGGCTGTTTAATTTGTCACGGTGTTGGGGGGGGGAATGAATTAACCATGTAAATTTGTGTGTGCATGTGTTGGAATTAAATTGAAGCTGAACATTGGCATGAATTACAAAACCGTCCTGTGTTCTGTCTCTTAATTTCCTCCTCCCTCGTACTAGGTTACAGGTCCCACAGCAAGGTGGGACTATCTATGCTGTGTGCTTTGGGTAGCCACACCGGCCTGTTGGCCTTTATTTCCTTCTCCCAGCGGAGGGAAGGAAGGGCAACTTGCTGTTTCTGTTGATCCCTGAGCTGGGACAGGCGAGATGAAAATGACAAGTGCTAAATCCTGGCGATTTCTGGCTGATGTAGTCACTGTTCTGTAAATGGGAAGCACCTGTACCAGCAATAACACAGTATCCCAGCTCTTTATTAGACCGAGACAAGTAGTAACCCTTCAGTCTCTGGAATGGGCTGCTTAATGGAGGATTGACTCCCGAACGAGGTTACCAGCTGGAAGGAGAGAGAACTTTAACTCAGTGAGAATGAGCTCAGCATCACCAAGTACAACAGAAGGCTGTTTGACCCATCGTGTTTATGCCAGTATTATCCAATTCCACTCTGTAAGACCAACCAATCTCACTGACTGTTTGTTTAGGCTCTAGACCACAACAACTAACTGCTTCCATCCAGTTACTTAGTTCCTGTGTCACTGCCATGGCACTACACGTCCCTAATGTATCCTCATCCTAATTTTCAAATCACTCTTACTTTTCTAAGAAACATCCTTCAGCCCCTACATCTCTCCCTTTTCTCTGTAACCTCTTCCAGACCTCTCTCTATCTCTGACCTCCCCCAGCCCCTGCACCCCTCCCTTTCTCTGTCACCTCCTCCACCCTCTACACCCCTCCCTATCCCTGTCATCTCCTTCACCCTCTCCTCCCTCAAATGTAACTCCTTAAAATATTGCGCTTTGCCCAAGAGTTATGTTGCTTTAAATATAAAGACTTTGTATCTGTCGCTGGCAGCGTCTCAATCTGGGATTCTTTACTACACTGAAGTAGCTACATAACTAGCTCTCGGTGCGCTATTGAAGGAGACTGTCACAGTGGCAGTTGCTTATATTATAAAGTTGGACCCCACCTCCACCCCGCAGCCTTTAAGCGCGCACAACTTGATCAGTATCAAAATTCTGCATCAGAATTCCAGCGATGCCAGATGTGACCAGGAGAAATAGAGTTCATTGCAAAGTGTTATCTCACTGTGTCTCCAAACACTTGGGGACAATAGAACTCGCCTCCAGAATGTTCAGCTCCTGAATAGCAGATTAGAGGAGCTCTGATCTTTTGCCCTGTGTAGCCGTCGGGACCATTACCCAGCTAATGGGCTGAGGGACTACTCCCGCTGACTGTGACAGAGACACAGCACTCCACTGATCCTCCCCTCTCTGCTTCTCTGCATTGCAGCCTCCGTTACCAAGGTTTTACACTCTTGACTCCAGCTTCTTTCACACCAATGGACACGAACAATCCTGCTGGAGGTGGGGGGACTGTGCTCATTTCTTATTGAAAGAGAAAGTTTTGCTGCTGAAAGGACCATACTCTGGCTTCCTTACACTCAATTGTTTCCTTTATCTAGTTCACTCTGCCTCAACCTAACCTTGTTTTCTAATTAGTTGGTGGTGGTGGCGGGGGGCACAGGAAGGGAATTACATTTCCTTAGTACCTTTCACATTCTCAAACACTTTGTCTAATCAAGTACTTTTGAATGCAGTTGCTGTTTTGTTGTAGAAGAATTGGCAACGAATTTGTGCACAGCTAGCTCCCACAAACAGGATTGGTGGTGACCCAGACCATTGGTTTTCTTGATTTTGGCTGAGGAATAAATACTGGCCCCAGGAGACCAGGTTTTTTAAGTCAGCTCTTAAAAAATTAGGCTGGAGTGCCTTTTACGTTCACCTAAGTGAACAGACAGGTCTAACATCTTATCAAAAATAGCGCTTTCACCAGTGCAGCTCTCCCACTGTACCACATTGTCGAGATTTTTCTGCCAAAGTCTGACTTGTGTACTTCTCAGCTTGTGACTCAGCCCAAGAACGTACCTGTCTGGGGGTCTACCCTAACGAGCAAGCCTGAAGGACGTTTCAGGGGTGTTGTTGGGATGCTGTATCCTGTTTTTGTGAAGATTTGTAGCTCGGGTTGTGGATGAGGTTGTCGACATGCTCTGGTGGGTTTGGTTGCAAAAGTTTCGTCACCCTGCTAGGTAACATCGTCGGTGCGCCTCCGGTGAAACGTCGGTGTTCTGTCCGCTTGTAATTTATATGCCTCTGTTTGCTGGCGTGTCTCTCTTTGTCTTGGGAATTCCTGGAGGCCTGGCATTCCAACTGGAACTCCATCAACAAACACATTGAATTAGACCCCGTCTACAAACCACTGAAAAATAGAACTGGAAGTAATACCAACCACCCCAGCAAACCGAGGTGTATAAACAACAAGCGGGAGAGAACACCGACGCTTTACCAGAAGCGCACTGACAATGTTACCTAGCAGGGTGACGAAACATTTGCAACCAAACCCACTAGCTCGGCGAGCATGTCTACAACCTCATGTTGTAGCCTGACCCAAATATCGACACAAATTTCCAGCAAGTGGAACAGGGCTGCGATTGGTGCTGGGGGCATCTCGGTAGATTTCACAGTTTGTGAGACTTTGACTGTGTCTGTCTGTGTGTATGACATTGAGAATATCCGTGACTGTGTGACATTGAGAGGGTCGGTGAGTTCGTGTGTGTGACGTTGTTAAAGTTTCAGTACATGTGTAACAGTGAGTTGGTGTGACTGTGTCACGCAAGGAGAGCATCGAATTCAGTGCTGCTTGTCTCCACAGTCTCATAACCAACCGACATTTGCTATCTGAGAGAATCTGTTGTGTCCCAGAGTCCATTATTCCACCATTGAAGACTACGCCATCTAATCTCTGGAATTCCCTCCTTAAAACCTTTCCACCTCCATCAGATCCTCCTTAAACCACTTGACCAAGTGATTGTGTGCTTGCCCTAATCTCCTCCTCACTCAGCTGAGTGTCAGATTTTGTTTAATCAGTTCCTTTGAAGTGGTCTGGGTTATCGAAGGCACCTTATCGAAACAGGTTGTTGTTTGTATGAGTTTCTGGTGTTGAGTCAGCCACCACTGTCCTGTGTCTTCAGAGAATGATAGAGGAAGAAAACATTTAAATATATTTCACAGTTTGAGGAAATTCTTCAGTACTGTTCAGATTTTTTGGGGTCAGATCCCAAGAGCTGATAAAGTGTGACATTATATGTCGTCATCTGAGAGCTGACTCCAGCTAGTGTCTGCAAACTAATCACATTTAGCTTGCAGGCACACACAAGGCACCGTGGCCTCAATAGTTTCATTAACCTGTTACACAAGCTTTCAGTTTTATTAAGGATCTGCTTGTGAACAGACACTGTGCATTTAGGATTAATTATCTGGCTATCTTCTGGTCCTGTTCACTTACTGATCTCTATCCGCATTGTCCTATCAGCATCCTTTCAATATAAAGCCACTGCAGGGTGTTAAATTATACGCTTGCTTTACTTTTAGTCATAAGGGAGTGTTGGAGTGTTTGAGTGTTTAACTTTCGGTCAATTGCCCCCCAGTTCCAACCGATTCCTATCCAGTAATTGGCCAATCAGCTGTCCAGCCTCATGAGATTATTCCCCCAACCCTCCTCGCTTCCTCGCCCCCTGCCTGGCTGCCACACATATATCAGTGTCTCTCTTTTGATAGACTGTGAATGAAGGGTAAACAATAAGGAGCAGTGGGGGTGGGCGAGTGGGTGGGGGGTGTCCTCAACTGTGGGCAGACTTGGACAGCGAGCGACGGAGAGAGCAGGGGAGGATGGAATCTCTGAGCTTCATTCGGAAACCAAAATTTATTTTTTAACAAAAAAACCACGGCAGAGCACACCGCCACGTGCCCGGACCACCGCACAAGCTGTGTGTCAGAGTGAGACCATAATGTTGGAGACGCCACAGTGCGACCCCTGAGTTTGTTACGATTCACAGAATGAGCGAGCTAGCGTCCGAGCCGCAGGCTGGAGTCTGGCTCGCAGTTTTGTTGCTGTCGCTAACATTGGGTGAGTCGGGAACTGCATTGTCCCTTTTTGTTAAACAGGGCTGGGGGCATCCTCCGGGAAGTTCCAAAATAAACTTCAGTCTGTTTGCATTGTCGGCCAAAATCTTCTAGCAAAAAATAAAGGAAGCTGTCTTGACTTTAACTGGGGTCGGGGGGAGGCAGTTTTATTCAACAAGGAAGAAACGGGAAATCTTTTGGTGTTACTGAAAAGTTTGCTGACCAGTGCTGTGTAATCGCCTCTTGGAACCCTGCTCCCTTTGATCAAGACTAACTGGTTGTCCTTTTAGTCACTTACAATGCGACTGTCGCCCCACTGTCAGCAAGGTCCTGATGAGCAGTAGCTTCTGAGATTTCACTGTTTGGCCTTTCACCACATAGCCAACAGGCTTTAGGAGGCACCAGAAGATTTCTCCCCATGTAGCCTTGTCTGAAATTGAAAGTGCAACTGGTCAGAAATGTTTGGATGGTGAGCCAGCAACACTGATATTGATGCAGGCATGTCTGTAAAGGATGGAGAAAGCAACAAGGCATCAGAAAAATTCTCTTAAGCCTCAACCAGCATGTGTCAAAATTTAATACTTAATACTCAACGAGGCCTTTCATTAATGAGGGAGCACTATGCTGTTGAAGGGTTGGTGCTGAGGGAGCATCAAACTGTTGGATGGACAGTGCTGAGGGAGTGCCGCACTTTCAAAGGTTCAGTGCTGGGGGAGTGCTGCACTGTCAGAGGGTCAGCACTGAGGGTGTGCTGCACAGTCAAAAGGACAGCACTGAGGGAACACAACATTGTCAGAGGGTGCGTCACACAGTTGGAGGGTCAGTACTGAGGGAGTGCTGCACAGTTGAAGGTCAGCATTGGGCGAACACAACACTGTCGGAGGGTCAGTGCTGAGGGAGCACCGCACTGTCGGAGGGTCAGTGCTGAGGGAGCACCGCACTGT